TGTGACTATGGTTTTTGAAAGTCTATTTTGAAGGGTATAGCCCAAGATTATCAATAACAGTTCTAAAATGATATTTTATATAAAAAGTCTGTGAAGTCACTGAATAAAATCTTACAGAAATACAAAAATACAATTTTAAAGAAACAAAGTGCAGTATCTGAGGCATCACTCAGCTGATCGTCTAATTCCTTTACCTGACAAGTAAGGAAGTCAAAGAATTTGCTCTTCAGAACTTCTAAATAGCCTGATACCCCCTATTAGATTCCCTCTGCCTCTTCACAGGCCCCTACAGTCCATGGAACACATTCATGTCACCTGGTCATGGTCTGAGGCCAGCCAACTGCGTTCTGTCACCCTGATGATTACTGTGCGAGGCTAGGCTTTTGTGCTTCATCCTTTTAAATAAATGATTCCAGAGTTTCTCAGACTACCACTGGACATGAAATGTAAAGAACTGCTGCAGTGTTCAGGGAAGCTTTGGGGCAGCAACGGCATAAGAGCCAAACAAGGGACCTGGATACTCTTTAGGCCTATGGCACTGGTCTACCCTCCTGTCTTCCATCATTAGACTCTGGAAGAATCTAGTCCTCATTCTCCTCCTCCTCCTTTTCTGGAAGAGAGGATGGGGAGGGAATACATTCTCCATTCTCTCCTCCATATATAGTTGAAGACGTTCCATAATTCTTTACCAGTAGGTAGTTGAGTTTACTCAGAAATAACATGGCAGGGCAAAAGTACTCTTAAGAAAGAACTGCTGTTGTTGTTCAGTTGCTAGGTTGTATCCGACTCTTTGCAACCCCATGGACTGAAGCACAGTAGGCTTCCTTGTCCTTCACCATTTCCTTGAGTTTGCTCAAAGTCATGTCCATTGAGTCGGTGATGCCATAGAACTATCTCATCTTCTGTCACCCCCTTCTCCTCCTGCCTTCAATCTTTTCCAGCATCAGGGTCTTTTCCAATGAGTCAGCTCTTAGCATCAGGTGGCCAAAGTATTAGAGCTTTAGCATGTCCTTCCAATGATTATTCAGGGTTGATCTCTTTTAGGATTTTTTTTCATATTTAAAATAAAAAGGAAAAGAAGAAGTGAAACTCTCACTGTTTGCAGATGACATGATCCTCTACATAGAAAATCCTAAAGACTCTACCAGAAAATTACTAGAGCTAATCAACGAATACAGTAAAGTTGCAGGATATAAAATTAACACACAGAAATCTCTTGCATTCCTATACACTAACAATGAGAAAACAGAAAGAGAAATTAAGGAAACAATACCATTCACCATTGCAACAAAAAGAATAAAATACTTAGGAGTATATCTACCTAAAGAAACAAAAGACCTATACATAGAAAACTATAAAACACTGATGAAAGAAATCAAAGAGGACACAAACAGATGGAGAAATATACCGTGTTCATGGACTGGAAGAATCAATATTGTCAAAATGACTATACTACCCAAAGGATTCTATAGATTCAATGCAATCCCTATCAAGCTACCAACAGTATTCTTCACAGAACTAGAACAAATAATTTCATAATTTGTATGGAAATACAAAAAAACCTCGAATAGCCAAAGCAATCTTGAGAAAGAAGAATGGAACTGGAGGAATCAAGCTGCCTGACTTTAGGCTCTACTACAAAGCCACAGTCATCAAGACAGTATGGTACTGGCACAAAGACAGAAATATAGATCAATGGAACAGAATAGAAAGCCCAGAGATAAATCCACGTACCTATGGACACTTTATCTTCGATAAAGGAGGCAAGAATATACAATGGAAAAAAGACAGCATCTTTAACAAGTGGTGCTGGGAAAACTGGTTAACCACTTGTAGAAGAATGAAACTAGAACACTTTCTAACACCATACACAAAAATAAACTCAAAATGGATTAAAGATCTAAATGTAAGACCAGAAACTATAAAACTCCTCGAGGAGAACATAGGCAAAACACTCCCCGACATAAATCACAGCAGGATCCTCTATGACCCACCTCCCAGAATATTGGAAATAAAAGCAAAAATAAACAAATGGGACCTAATGAAACTTAAAAGTTTTTGCACAACAAAGGAAATTTTAAGTTCAAAACAACCAGGAAGAAATAAGAAGATCTTAACAGACCCAAACAAGCAAGGAAATCGAAACTGCAATCAGAAATCTTCCAGCAAACAAAAGCCCAGGACCAGATGGCTTCACAGCTGAACTCTATCAAAAATTTAAAGAGCTAACACCTATCTTACTCAAACTCTTCCAGAAAATTGCAGAAGAAGGTAAACTTCCAAACTCATTCTATGAGGCCATCATCACCCTAATTCTAAAACCAGACAAAGATGCCACAAAAAAAGAAAACTACAGGCCAGTATCACTGATGAACATAGATGCAAAAATCCTTAACAAAATTCTAGCAAACAGAATCCAACAACATATTAAAAAAATCATACATCATGACCAAGTGGGCTTTATCCCAGGAATGCAAAGATTCTTTAATATCTGCAAATCAATCAATGTAATACACCACATTAACAAACTGGAAGATAAAAACCATATGATTATCTCAATAGATGCAGAAAAAGCCTTTGACAAAATTCAACATCCATTTATGATTAAAACTCTCCAGAAAGCAGGAATAGAAGGAACATACCTCAACATAATAAAAGCTACACATGACAAACCCACAGCAAGCATTACCCTCAATGGTGAAAAATTGAAAGCATTTCCCCTAAAATTCGGAACAAGACAAGGGTGCCCACTCTCACCACTACTATTCAACATAGTTTTGGAAGTTTTGGCCACAGCAATCAGAGCAGAAAAAGAAATAAAAGGAATCCAGATAGGAAAAGAATTGAAACTCTCACTGTTTGCAGATGACATGATCCTCTACATAAAATAAAAAGACAGAAGATGTCAATTTCCAAGGTCCCTTTATGTTGGAATACTGTGTCTTTTATATTCTAAATTCAGCTATAGGCAGGCTAAACACAGGCTCATCTGATTCTTCTTTAACTCAGTGATTTCCAAAGTGGGGTATTTATGGCAATGAATTAGAGGAATAGGAATATGTTTTTAATTCAAAGAGGTAGGAACAGGACTCAGTGTTACGCTGCCTTTAATACTCTGGATGGTGCTGGTGAGAAGAAGAGCTCCACAATGCAGAGGGGTCAGCAGGGAGACGCCCTTTCTCTGTCCATTCTCAACATACAGCATGGTACTTGTGCCTGGTTATGGGGATTTACAGATATTAGCAAACGCTTAGCAGATAGATAGAGGCTTATAAGAATTTCTGTAAAGTAATCTCCGATTAAAAATAATACAGTGAAATAAGTCAAATACCACATGATATCATTTATAGGTGGAATCTAAAAAAATGATACAAATGAACTTATGAATCAGAAACAGACTCACAGACATAGAAGACATACTTCTGGTTATCAAAGGTGAAAGAAAGGGGGAGGGATAAACTAGGAATTTGGGATTAAGAGACACATACTACTGTATATAAAATAAACAACAAGGACCTACTGTATAGCTCAGGGAACTCTGTTTAGTATTTTGTAATAAACTATAATGGAAAAGAATCTGGAAAAAAGTATGTGTGTGGGTATGTGTATGTAACTCAACTTAAAAAAAAAATACCGATGATACCAGGGCCAACTTTTCCTGTTCTAAAACCAAACTCTTTGTTGATCTCATTACGAGGTAAAGCAATGACTATGGAATTAGATTTGCTCCGACAGGAGGTAGTCCTAAACTATCAAGAAATGTTCACTACCCATAATTATGAACCTGTTCCTTGATGTACAGTGGGTACTGAGGTTTGTTAAAAATGACAGTATGTGTACAAAGTTTTAAAAATATTTCATATAGAAACTGACAAAAGTTTATATTGGGAATTCCCTGGCCATCCAGTGACTAGGACCCCGTGCTTCCACTGCAGTGAGCACAGGTTCAATCCCTGGTCTGGGGACTAAGATCCTGCAAGCCGCGTGATACAGCCAAAAAAAACAGTTTATACTGATAAGGGTCTACAATCGACAAAGTTTAAAACCTTATTTACGGGAAAGTGGATGCAGCTGCTTCTGGATGCATGTGGCGTGGTCAGATAAGCTACTTCATGGTGTCACTGACTCGGCATCCATTCTGTCTGGCCAAGTGGCTGGCAGGGACTTTAAATGAACACTAGCCCCTCAGGCAAGGTTGTGCCCTTGATAACAGCCCTAGGGTCACAAGCAAATGTCAGTTCCTGGTAGGACTCCCTCTTGTGATCACGTTTCCCCCACCCCCAGGGCCCACCCTCTGTGCGCCCTTCAGAAAAGACCTTACTGGAACCTACTAAACTGGTTTGAATTGACCAATTTGGCCTTACCTTCGGAACCCTGAAGCACTCCACCCACCTACCGTCATAAAGGCATGTGCCCCGGGTCCTGTCTGTCTGTACTCTGCCTTGACCTCCCTGTGTGGCCCCTGGAGGTGAGTCATGTACCTTTTCAGGACTTGTTAAGTAATAAGCCTCTCTATTTCAATTTCTCTTGTGGTCTTTCACTGAACTGCAGCTTACCATATAACACCCTGGGTTCTAGCTAACAAAGGTTCATCTAACAAAGTCGTAATACTGCACCATGGAGCAGTGCAGAAGCACAAGGCTTTTGTGAGGCTCAGAGCTCTGACATACAACTATCTGTAATGTCTAGATAAGCCCTGAGGCTCTGATTTCTAATCTGTAAAGGTGTGAAAATAATACTTATTTCCTGGGGCTGCTGTGGGACTTGAACAAGAATATTTGGCATGTGTAGGTCTTAACAAATACTAATTTCTTCATTCTTACTCTTAATTTGCCAAAAAAAACAAAGACGTGTATTTGTGTAGTAAGGTAGGGAAAGTTAAGAATATAGTATGATACTATTTAAAACTGCATTATTTGTTTCTGCTAGGCTACAATCTGCCCCACAGGGGAATTTATCCATGTTAACTGAGATTTAAGAGCAGCTTTTGTTTAACTTACCACATTAAAATTTAGATTTTCTTCAACCCATGCTTGAGCCTCTTCAAATTCATCTTTCATATTCATAATAAAAAGTGTATCCAGGGCATCTACTATTGTTGCTCCTTGGATATTACCTGAAAATATCAGAAAAATATTTATTCAATAAAAGAGCTTTGACAGATCCATACATCCACACTGAGCATACCTTGGATAGGAAGTGAGTAATAACTGAATTTATTAGTAAACAAGAATATTGAACACAGTCTAAAGTTCTTTCAGTGAAAGAAAATTTAAAAGTTGAATCAAACCAAACTAAAATTTATCACAGGCTATAGATTGGTACACTAATTTTTAAAGTCTTTCTGAGTTGCAGAAAATAAATCTCTTAGAAATTTCATTTGTGATCACATTCTCTAGCAAGAAAAAAAAAAAAAAGACCTGAAACCAAGGAGCAACACACATATTAATTTTAATGTAATTATATCAAAGTGCACCTGCACAAAACTGTTTTAATTATAATTAGATCTAAAATTGTTTAGTTGATAGCTCTAAGAATCCATTACTCAAAAATGGAATTCTACCCCCTCTCTGCAGCTCTGACTGATCCTAACCTCTCCTCCCATGTCCTAGCCAGGACTGACTCTCATTTATTTCCTCTCAACTCCCTCAACAGGAAGATTTTACATTGCTCTTTCACTCATGACTTTCTATCTCCCATTATAACTATATATATGCATCTCCTTTTAGCCTGTGAAGTTTCTCAAAATAGAGAAGTCATGTCTTATTCACCTCCACATTCCATGCTAAAAGACTTGGTATGTTTTTAAAGGCTTAAGAATAAATTTAAAAATCATCACTGTATTAACAGAGAACTAAGGAATCTCTTCAATAAAGATTATGGCAAATTTACAACTAAATGATTTCTTAATGGTATGAACAACTTTCATAGAGATAAAAGCAAAACTGGAATTTTTTTTTTTTAAAGTTATAGTAAGCAATAAAAAAATTAAGAACTCTGAGTCTGCAAGAAGTGTCTGGGTTTCTCTCTTCATTTACCATCACGCATGTTAACTGGTCACCACGTCCTCAAAACATACTTTAGAATTATCTGAAACCATGTGTACTGCTACCACTCCAGGTCTGACTCTCTTCACCTCTAAAGTGAGTCACTGTGATGGACCAGCCAGCGCTCCCTAACTGTTCCTGCAATGTCCTTCTCCCTACCACAGAGTCTACTGTTTTTCAGAACTTCCAATGATTATCTACTGAATCCACCCAGTCCAGGTCAATTGCTCAGTCGTGTCTGAACCTTTGCAACCCCATGGACTGCAGCACACCAGGCCTCCCTGTCGTCCATCACTAACTCCTGGAGTTTACTCAAACTTGTGTCCATTGAGTTGGTGATGCCATCCAACTGTCTCATCCTCTGTTGTCCCCTTCTCCTCCTGCCTTCAATCTTTCCCAGCATCAAGGGCCTTTTCAAAATGAGTCAGTTCTTTGGCTCAGGTGGCCAAAGTATTGGAGTTTCAGCTTTAGCATCAGTCTTTCTGATGAATATTCAGGACTGATTTCCCTTAGGATGGTCTGGTTGGATCTCCTTACAGTCCAAGGGACTCTCAAGCGTCTTCTCCATCACCACAGTTCAAAGAATCCACCCGGTCCTTCGGTAATTCACTATCTGTACATATGTCTTCTGCACTAGGTCATAAACTTTGCAAAGATTTGTGTTTATTAATCACAGCGCTGGGAAGGGAGCCAAACACATGGAAGGTCCTAAATAAATGGAAAAGTACAGTGGGGTGATGAGGAGCAGACTCTGACTTTAGCCAGTCACACGTGGGTTCAAGTACCAATTCAGCCAGTTAGTAGGTGGCTAGCACTGGGCAAGCAAGCTGTTCTCTCAGTTTCATATTTCTCATCTATAAAATGCACATAATAACAGGGATTAAATGAGAAGATGCACAAATGGCATTGTGGCACACAGGGTCAGCTGATACTGTTACTTGTTACAGTGATCTGTTTAACAGGGGGCTTCCCAGGTGTGCTAGTGGTAAAGAACCTGCCTGCCAATGCAGGTGATGTGAGAGATGCAGGTCTAATCCCTGGGTCAGAAAGATCCCTTGGAGGAGGGCATGGCAACCCACTCCAGTATCCTTTCTTGGAGACTCCCATGGACAGAGGAGCCTGGGGGGCTACAGTCCACAAGGTGGTAGAGTCGGACACGACCCAAGTGACTTAGCACACACTATCTAACAGCTTCAGTTAAAAGACAGGACATCAGCTTTTCCATGGTGATTTCAGAAGCATCAGGCCAAGATTCACATCCTCCCCCCGCCCTTCATCCTGTTATAGACGAAATTGTGAGAACTGAAGAGGAATGGACCTCAGGGAGAAGGGCGCTGGGGAGCTCTGCGACCCAAGGAATCCATCTAACGCTTCTGTTACTTAGCTTCTGCACCTCCACAATGTCAATGTTATTAATACATGGAGAAGGTATTAATCACAGAAGCAGGCTGTGAGGACCCAAAGTAATAAAATGATGCCAAAGTGGATGAATGGAAGTTCATATAACAGTCGACTCCATCCTCACTTGCTCTCACAAACAAGAGAAATTCAGAGCCAAAGCTGGGAGTCACCGAGACACAGCGAAGGTCACCACGGCTGGCTGCCTTGGCCAGCTTATTGATAAAGACACAGCTTTTATCCGACAGGAAGCAGTTAATGCAGCCAACAAATACTCCTCTGCTATATACCACATGGGAGCTAAAAGTCAGGATACTGTGCCCATATCCATTAAATAAGGATCTTTGGAAGTATGCCCCAGGCATCAGTATTTTTTCAAGGGACGCAGGTGGTTACAAAGTGCAGCCAGTGCTACATCTGAAGGACACACTACGCACAGCCTCTGCAGACAACTCATCAGGTGTGCAAGTCTCCTAGCAACACAAGCTGGAGGGGGACACAGACTTTCTCCACCACCCACAAGTTCAGCCGATTGGAGAGAAGTTACTGTCAGGAATGAGCCAAAGCACATTCTACTCACCAAACAAACTGCTTGAATGGCCTCCTTTTGACACAGGCTTCAGTTCGTTTTTACCCCAGGCATAACGTTTATAATTTTTCCAAGCATGTTTCATCATCTGAGAAAAGAAATAAAAATGGGATTATAATTTGAATTTGACATGTTTTTGCTTCAAGACAGATCATACATCGACGATCTAAAGGTTAAAACACTAAAACTCACTGTTTAGTTAAAAGGATGATGATAATTAAAAGGGGGACAATGGTATGAATAAGCTGGAACACACACATAACATACAAATCCACATCATCCCTTTATGTCTATAAATGGAGACTTTTTTAATCCATTTAATCTTATTTTGTATATTAACACACATCATTTTCAAAAGTCAGTTCCCAGCAACAGAAACTTAGCTTAACATAAAAGGATGAAATCATTCTTAATAGATAAGTCTAAGTAGATAAATCATTCATTTATCTATTTCATCCTCATAATGCATTAAATCTATAAGGACTGTATACTTAAGATTCCCCCTTTTTTGCATAAAGTTCTCTGTACTTCATATACAGACAAATATCCAAAGTTATTACTTTAAACACTGATGTATCTTGACCAAGACTATATAGAGAAGTATTTTTGAATGAATATAGGAAATGAAAAAAAGAAGCTAATTCTATATATTCCCAACCTAGATGTCTTGTACCAGGACTGTTAAAGTCCAAAACTCTCGGTCATATATTAGTTGTATACATTTTTCATTTTTAAATTTTATTAATTTTAATAAAATTAGTTTACTTACATGTAATGAAAATCAATCAATTTCTTCTGGCTTAGAGACTAAGTTCTGACCTATTGTGCTAGATATTAACTCTAGCACAAAATGAATAATAATCAAGGAAAGAAATTATTCTCTAAGAGCCTATCAAAATAGTTGTGTAACTATTACATAGTTACACAGATGTTTAGTTGCACAGATGTTTCTAATGACTCCAAGAATATACTTCACCTACTTATTTTTGTATACATTTTTTAAAAAGAGTTGAGGACTCCTTACCTGTCCAGAATTTATTCATGCCACTATCCCCAATCCATTAGCAACAGTAACTAAAATAGGAACATAATGGGGAAATATTCTAGTCTGGCTCCATATTTTAAAATATCTTAAAAATCATCAATAAAGTTATACATACTATATATAGGTTGTTTATCACTAAAAATCTTCAGTGAGATCAGTAAAATTTTATTAGTAAAAAAGTCTTCCTATGTCCCCCCAAATAACAATGCACATCTGTCTTCAATCACTCTGTTTCAGTATAGGATCTTCCTAACTCACCACTACTGTTAGTAATAACAGCTACCAAAAAATCTGTACTGTCTGCTCGGTACTCCACTAAATGCTCTGTGTTCAGTACTGTATTCAATTCTCATTACCACTCTATGAATGATGTTGTATTGTCACTGTTTGGTAGATGAAAAATTCAAGACTTTGAGAAGTTACAACACAAACATGTTTACTCAAAGTCATGACATTTCTCCACAGCTGTGGAGCCGGGGTTTATCCCTGTGTTGGCCTGACTTCAAAGCCATTGGCATTAATCATACACTGCATAAACTTCCTTTGATGAGTCAGCAACAGACCCTTCCTTTGATGAACCAGACTGGTGATCTTCTAACCAGCAACAGAATGCGTATACAGTAGTGTTTTAGAGATTTTCTCCTTATAAATTAATTTTGTTGAAAAGTGTCCTAGGTTTGAAGGTGAAATAACTTGATTTATAATGACCACCAATCAGTCACACAATCATGGATGAGTCAGGCTTTCTTTATGTGAAAATCTGGGGTGATTTCTCACAGGTTGTGCATCACAGGATGCATGTAAGGATTACATGAGCACGACCTGTGTGGTGGTGCCCTGTGCAGACAGTGAATAATCACACACCTACTGAATTTAAGCCTATATTGAGACCAACTAAACTCATGTCACACAAATAGAAACCAATGAGCCTCTGAAAAGAACAGGTACATGAACTCTAGGTACAAAAACACCTTGAGATTACATCTCAGTTTGATTTGGTTTTGCCATTAAATGTACTTTATTTGATAAACTCTTTATTCCTGTTTCAAAGATACTTTATAAATCCAAAAGCTTTTGGAATACACCTAACACAAGAACAGAAAAAAAAAAAATTATGATGATTTGTTTCCACTCCAAGTCTGAATGGAAATCTGTGCCATGTACTACTAATGACTCCAAGACAGCATAAAGCTTTCCTATAGAAGACTGTTGTTTAGTCAAACATGATCATTTTACACAATGCACCACTGGTATAGAACTTCACTGAGTTACTACTGTAGTATACATTAACTTTCCTTATCTTTTATCCCCAAGGGAAAATTGGACACTAATTGCTTATCTGCCTGTATTTCAAAAGCTGCTGTGACCCGTTTCTCAAAATGGGTTCCTCACCCCACGGGATTTTCTATGTGTTACAGTTTGAAAAGAAAAAGAAAACAAATGTGGTCAAAGTGCCCTGTATGGAGCTCTAATATTGGTTTCTCCAGGAATCTGTGAAATAAAGAGGAAGACCCATCCTGTTAAAGGACTCCAGTGGTTGGTCACCTGGGGTGAAGCCATGAGAGAGCTGGAAGGCAAGGAGAGAGAGACCGGGAAGCAGGCAGGGGTGGTCAGTTATCGGCATGGTGCCCAGGTGGAATTATGTCGGGTTTGTAGAGCTGCTACAGAACTGCAAATGATGCTGCTGAGTGCTCAATGTTGATGAATTATCTTCCTCTCCTCCATGAGGCACGGCTCTTTTCCTGCTGAGACTGTTTACTTACTGCCCAGTGGTATGTCCTCATAGAAAAATTCTTTTGTTCATTGAGGAGGAATGTATAAGAGCAGGTCACAGGTACAAGCATCTTAAAAAATGGGTTCATATCCGAGCTCTGCCATCATTGGTATGACTCCAAGTGAGGCAATTAATCTGAGTCCACTTTCCACATCCATTAAATGCAAACAAATAAACGCACCAGTCCAGTAGACAGCAAGGAGATCACACCAGTCAATCTTAAAGGAAGTCAACCCTGAGAACTCACTGGAAGGACTGAAGCTGAAGCTCCAGGATTTTGGTCACCTGATGGGAACAGCTCACTCATTGGAAAAGTCCCTGATGCTGGGAAAGATTGAGGGCAGAAGGAGAAAAGGGTGTCAGAGGATGAGATGGCTGGATGGCATCACTGATGCAATGGACATGAACTTGGGCAAACTCTGGGAGATGGTGAGGGACAGGGAGGCCTGGCGTGCTGCAGTCCGTGGGGTTGCAGTCGGACGCGACTGAATAACCAGTTCAGTGACACTCACATTCCATCTGTTCCATAGGACAGGGAAGGCTACATTTGGTTTGGTTGAGGACTAGAGGGGAAAGAGGGAGGGAGCTGAATCTATTGCCCTGATAAAGTGGAAATTGGTGGCCTTCACTCTTAAAATTATATTTACTATCGATGATTTGAACAAACTGATTTTAAAAGCCTGTCAGTAATTTCCACCAAACTTTGACATTACTTGTCACATGAAAGTAACTTCTGAAATGTCCAGATAAAAATCTCAACTGAAAACATTTTTAGGATCACTCTATCAGGCTTCTCTACTTTAATCTTTGGTGGAACGGGGACATGGCAGAAGGGAAACAAGATAAAAAGTGAAACTTCAGGAAATCAAGTCACAGCTTGGCCAAACTCTCCTCATCCACTGGAAAACAATGTCTGGGTTCGTGAACATGAGACAACAATCTAGCCGCCCCTGCCTCTCACCTGGGGCAGCCCCGCTCCCTACATTTCCCTGTGGGAAGAAGGCTGAGAGGATCAGGAGCCCCGAGCCCCCGGGAGACTCTGTGCTGTGGATGCCATCACAGGGAGCAAGGCAGGCGGGCTTCAGCTGGGGGAGCCGGAAACCCGCTAAGATTGGACCTCTCAGACCCTCAGTTTCTCATCTTTAAAAACAACAACCGAAGGAAACAAACGTCCCACCGCAGTGCAGGATGTTAACTGTGCAGGACAGGGTTGTGCTAGGGCAGGCATCTATGGGAATACGCCATACTTTCCACTCACTTCTGCCATGAACCGAAAGCTGCTCTAAAAATTACCGTCTACATGAAAAAATAAATGAAGAGCACTATCTTCCTCACATCATGGTCAGGAGATCAGATCTGATAACATCCGGCTGCAGGCAGACATCTAAAGAGTGTCCCTGGCTTTCATTCCCACCTCCACCTCACTGCCCCACCTGGTGCAGGAGTTAAACACAGATGAGCAAGAACAGCGCAAAGGAAGCGGACACGGAGCTACGCTCACGGTGGACAGGGCAATTCAGCGGGAGGGAAATTCACAGGGGAGGGAAGAGGTCAGTGTCAACGAGAGGTGACAGAACGCAGAGCACGTATGACTCGGCACTCATAGACAATGCAGGCCTGGAGTCTACCACAATTACTTGCATTTGTCACCCTGTTACCCTAAATGGAATCAGGATGCTGCCTAAGACAGTCTTGGGAAGATTCTCCACTTAAGACAGCATATGGGCAAGGTCCGAGTCCACCCACCTTCTATCTGTCCTTGCTCTGCACAGAGAAGAACCCTCCCAGTCATGAGAGCTTCCAACTTTACCGCGTATCAGATTAAAACACTCATTCAGCTCCTTGCTCAATTTCTCTCTTTCCAAAACTGAAACACATCAGTTCTCTCTCCCTTTCCATCGGACAGTCAAGAATCCAGCTGCAATGCAGGAGACCTGGGTTTGATTCCCTGGGTCAGGAAGATCCCCTGGAGAAGGAAATGGCAACCCACTCCAGGATTCTTGCCTGGAGAATCCCCATGGACAGAGGAGCCTGGCGGGCTACAGTCCATGGGGTAGCAAAGAGCTGGACACGACTGAGCGACTAACTTGCTTTCTGCCTTTCCACAAGGCTGTTTGTGTGCCTGTGCTCAGTTGGATCCATCTGACTCCTTGTGACCCTATGGACTGAAGCCCACTCCAAATTCACCAGAGTTCTGGGCTCTGGACCCCAGAGTCCAGTAGCGCCTGGACAGAGGGACAGAACACATTCAGTCATTGGTTCTGGGTCC